GTTAGCCAATTCAAGAACAGCTTCACTGCTGTTGTTTTTGATCGACTACAGCTTTGATGAAAATTTGATTGCACCATGCTGTCCCTACCATGCGTGGGTTGTTTGGGAATTCGACGCCACAAGGGGTTACCCTGGAGAAGGCCCTTTTTCCTTGTGGTCGATCCTCTCGTCCAATGTTGGGAGCTTCATTAAAGACGACACCTGGAAGGGGTGGGAAGACAATGTTGTGTGCCTACAAGAGACTCGTATTGGCCGTAACAACTTCCGAAATGCCACTAAATCGGCTGCTGCCTTTGGGAAGAACCTTGTCCTTGGTGACCTCCTCCCTGGTCTGTTCCGGTCTGACGGTAGTGGAGCTACATCACATGGTGGAGTTGCGTCCATCGCTCCCAGTCAATGGTCCACCCCCTTTCAGCACTCCCAAGATCTCACTGGCCTCTACGAAGGGGTCTTCAAATCCAAACGCATTCAGGCGGTTTGGTGTCAGGTACGTCCTTCGCTTAAGATCTTGGTGTTCAACTTCTATGGTAAATCAGGGGCCTCTGCTTCCCATGACATCCTGAAGTACAACGATGAGCTCCTGCGGGACGCCCTCCAAATTGCTAGTCAGTTCGGGGACATCCCGGTCCTGTTGGTCGGGGACTTCCAACTGCCTCCGCTCCAGTACCCCTCGGTCGCTGCCGCCGTGCATTTTGCTGATTGGTTTGACCCCCTTACAAATTTTTTGGAGGATGGTACTGTTGATCGGCCGATCACCTATAGTAGGGATTGCACTTTCACTGCTTTCGGTGAGCACTGCTCTTCAATTGATGGTATTCTTATGAATCATGTGGCGTTCAATTGTCTCCAGTCCATTGAAACTGTCGATTGGACCCATAAGCAACACAGGCCTGTTCGTGCTGTTTTCAATTGGGAGACAATCTTCCAAGTTGGACCTGTCCATGTCAAGTTTGCTGCTCTCGATACGTCGCATGTCCAGAAACCATCTGTTCCCAAGAACTACTCGGCCCAGAATGATTTTTGGGATGACATCCTTAATTCTCGCTTTGGCAATCAGTCACCTGAAGAGCTTTGGTTTGATATCAATCAACATGCCCTTTCTTCGCTGCTTGATTTGGGGGCCACCTGGCAAAAGGGTCGGCAACAAAGAGCTGCTCCACCTGTTTTTCTTTTCAAGAAATACTGCCCAGGCCAGAATGTGTCCGGGACTGCAGTTAGCCTTCATCTCTCGTGGTTGCATAATGCTCGAGCTAAAGTCTTTGACATTCAAGCTAAAGTTGCGAAATCGGCTTTAAGTGATCAAGAGTGTGAGATACTTCACAATGCTCTTCGTAAACTTAATCGCCTCCTCCGGCGACTCAAGGCTCCATTCCATTTTCGCTCGCAGAGCACGCTTTCGTTGACTCAATTGCATGAGTGTCATTTGTGGCTCCAGATCCGCATTGACCAACAAGAGCATGAGCTTAAGCAAGCAAGGATTCTACTGTGGAAGGAGAAGATCCGTGAATCAGCATCCACGAATCGAGCTTATATCTTTCACCACCTCAAGAATAAATCCCAGGACCAACCCAATAACTTGGTTACCTCTCAGCAAGGGCACATCATCTATCAACCTGTGGCAGCCCTGACTGCCCTCAATGAGCAATGGGATCAGATCTTTGCTGCCAATGTTGAGCATAATGACCCGGTTGAGTTCCTGAAGGTTCTCTGGCCCTACCTGTCTAGGGAGAACCAGCCGTGGCATCCGCCACCCATTACTGGTGCTGACATTTTCGAGACGCTCAAAGCCCGCCATGCTAATGCAGCCCCGGGTCTAGATGGATGGCGTACTACTGAGCTTCAGTCGATGCCACTCGAGGTTTGTGAGATTTTTGCTGCCTTTTTTCGAAGGATTGAGGCCAATGTTGATTTTCACCTTCCTAAAGCCTTGACCACGGCTAAGATTGTAATTCTCAACAAGCCTGGCCCATCGTCCCCATTAAATAAAAGGCTCATCACGATTTTGCCCCCACTCCTGCTTGCCTATACAGGCACACGTTTTCGTCAAGCCAAGGATTGGCAGGCATCCATTATGCCTCCCTCCATCGTGGGGGGTATTGCTGGTCGCCACATGGCTGCCATCCCGACTGCTTTGCGGCTTGAGCTTGATGAAGCTGCTGCGACCCATGATACGCTTGTCGGCCTGAAACTCGACAAAAGCAAATGTTTTGATCGCATCATCCCCTCTTTTGTTGCCATCATTCTCCTCGCCCTAGGCTGTGCCAAACATGTTGTGAGTATTTTTGTGCGGCAATACAGTGGCTTGCGTAAACATTTGTCCTATAGGGGTTGGACGATGCATACTGCCACAACCTCACCGAATGGGGTTGCCCAGGGTTGCTCGTTTTCGTTAATTGCCATCAATGCCTACATGCGCTCATGGCTTGCATTCCTGCACGATATTCCCCACATCACGTGTAGGATCTACATTGACGATATTTACCTGTGGGCTTCCATCCAACATATTGCCAATCTCAAAATCGCTCTTGAAGTCACCCAGCTTTGGGACACCCTTGTCGGACAGAAGCTTAACCCTGATAAATCTGTTGCTTGGGCATCGAACTGTGATGGTCGCAAAACCATGAAACGGACATTCTCCGATTTCTTGATTCATGAGGTCATTGATGTATTGGGAACCAAACTTTACACCTCCCAGCGCAACTCTTTTGAGTTCCCTGAGGAAAAGACCCACAAGATTCTCCTGGACATTCGTAACATTGGTGCACTTCCTCTACCGAGGAAAATCAAAAGTCAGCTTCTTGGAGCCAAGGTGATCCCTCAATGCAGTTATGCTGCCCACATCACTAAGATCCCCAAAGCTGTCCTTGATAAGATTCAAGCTGAAATCACTCAAGCCCTTTGGGGCAACAGACCACACTGGCGTGCCAAACACCTCGTTCTGGGGTTTTTGGTGCAACCGCACAGAGTTGACCCGTACATTGCTCGGGCTTACAGTGCTGTTCTTGATTTCATGCGGTTCCTGCACATTGACCCAGAGAATTTTGATAGTCTTTGTCGAGCTGCGCCTCTCTCCACAGTCAACAAATATTCCTTATTTACAGGAATACGTGATGCCTTTGCTGCTTTTGGCATCTCCTTTGACACAGATCTCCATGTTGCTGTTGGAAATGGACCTAAGCTCAACCTTCGGGAACTGTCGGCCCGTGACTTGGCACCTGTCCTCAAACAGTTTGCGGTGCAGATTCACTATGACCACACGGCCAACCTGAACAGAAAGGATTTCTTTAAACCGCAGGGGTTTGTTGATGTCTTTCATTCCAAGCTGTTCGCTACCAAGCACTGTGCTATTAGTGGATCCGAACCTCCACTCCGCACGCATTTTGAGGCCCAGCTGGTAGGGTGTACCATCACCAATGACAGGCGATTTGCCGCCAAATTTGCTGATTCACCTTCGTGCCGCTTCTGCAAGACCGCGAAAGAATCCTTGGTCCATATTTTACAATGCCCGGCTGCGCAGGAACATTTTCAGTTTGGCCCTCAGCATGAATTTGGTCAAAACTTTTCGCAACTGGGTATAGTTGAGCATCCTTGGCCTATAATCCGTCACCGGCTTCATGTCGACAGAGCAGCAGACATTCCTTGTGCAACTTTTGACAGGCCCGATCATTACCTCTCAGTTTGGACAGATGGCTCGGTTTTCTGGAGTGAATGTTTCCCACTCACTGCTGCGGGTTATTCTATTATCAATGAGGATGGATCCATTTTTGATGCTGGCACAGTCTCACACTTGGCGCTTTCGTCCTTTTCGGCGGAACTATGGGCTGTGGTTATGGCGACCCTCAAAGCTGATTGTTGCCTTTGTGTCTATAGTGACTGCCAAGAGGTGGTGGCCATGGTCAACCTTCTTGTTCAGAGGCGGTGTATTCCTCGCAATTGTTTACACCTCGAGTGGTGGCAGACACTGCTTGCTGTTATCAATTTGCGTAGTCTGTCCAGTGATGGCCCAGTGCTCACCATGGTCTGGATTCCTGCTCATATAGATGATGCCCTCCCGATTTCACTTATTCCGGCTGCTAAACTTCAACAAGCTGGTACCACAAGGAAACATGTTGAGCTGAACCGCGTGGCCGACAAAGTGGCTGAATACTTTGCGTTACAACGTTGCGCTATTGCACCACGGGACAAGACGATGTTTCAAGCTGCGGTGTTACACCAACAGGAAGTGCTGACGCAACTGAACAAGTTTATTGGCTTTGAATGTGCTGAGGAGTTTGTTGATGCGTCTTCACCTCCCAAGCCTTTGTGCCTTCAAGATTTTCAGAAGTGTTACCCCGGCCTTGCCTGGAGTTGTTCGGAACAAGCTTTTGACCTAGTCTTCAACATTCCTGATGGTCCACCACCTTCTAAGGTGGATCTCAGTCATGCTGATTGGGACCAACTCCGTACATTTTTGAAGTCTTTGCATTGGATTTCGGGCCTGCAATATATGTGCACATATCAGGAACTTTGCTTTCTTTTTCACATCCGGGGCTTTCGACTGCACAAACGCCCTGCACACTTTCAAGACCTTGTATTGCAGCTGCGGAAGGCTATTGTGGCTTTATACAAGTCTTGTCCTGATCTCCCTGGTAAACCCACAGCTCGCGCGACCAAATGTATAGGGAAGGTCCTCCCACAGGGTGCTCTGGTGGGCGTCCTTCCGTTCTTTGCTCGGAACGAGCTCCTTGCTTTTGCCCGGGTGCTGGCGAGTGGCGCGGGTCGCTTTGCTGACTCGTGGTCTTTCACTTTCGATCATTTGCTGTAGTCCTCTAATTTGTGCATCCTCATGTTCAACGATCAGAGAGTCGTGGACAAGACATTCTCACTCTTGGGACTTGTCAGCGTGTGAACAGAATAGACTGCTGGACATGGTCAACCTACCAGGGATTGAGAGTCCCGATGCCATGACCCACAGCCGCCATCTGTTTGCTTTGAATCGGCTCTGACTGCGGAAAGGGCACCCAGAAAGGGCACGGTTTGCACTGGCCACGCTCGTGCAGCTCCGCGGGGGAAACAAGGGATCCATCGTTCTCAGCCATTGGCCGATCTGGAACAATTTGAAACTCGCAAACGTGCGAGTTGTATCGTCTGCCCTACTTACGTGGGGCTTGAGCAGCGGGCGCGAAGAATTAGGCTCTATTCCCACCCCAATGCTCCAAGAAGGAGCCCTACTGCAGGTAGTTTCGAACTGTTCATGAACTTTGGATCTTCCAGACCTTAGTGGGCACCGTCTTGGCTGCCCTTCACACCAGGTTGGGTGAGACGACCACGGACCTCCGGTCAAAGGACAAAAATTATTCACAACCTACTAGCGATGGCCTCCAACTTGCTGGCTCCAACCTACTATTACTATAGCTAACATTGTTACTAGTAAGGCACTTGTTACTTTTCGTAGCGATGCACTTGTTCCTACGTTCGCTTCTTGCGTTCGCAGTATGAGAAAAAGAGGAAAACACCGAATTCGACGCACTTCTTCGACTCCGAACCGAGGACACCACCGAGGACGCATTCGACGCTCTCCGGGCCTAAGGCCAGGCCTTTGTGGACAGTCTGCCACAGTCAGAAATCCTGACTGCCGCAGTCAGATGGACATCCCCCCTCGTTGTATCTCCTTTCCGGTGGCTTTCAGGTGGGAATCATCTACCCACTACCGACTCTTCCACAGGTGTTCTTCTGGAACCGATGAGTCCAATCGAGCATCCGTGATCCCCAAAACCGCGACGCCCAGCATCGCGTCCTCTATCTCCGATCGCTCATAAAGGTCTGCGGCGTCTGTGAAACAGTGGATGTCTCGATTCACACCGCCTGAGTGACAGATGCTTCACGAACCTGACATTAATGCTGACGAATCATAGGGACGTCTGGTCTGAAACCCGGTGAAACCAGGCTTTAGTCGACCGTCAAATCACTGGATCTCCTTGTTTCCAGTCACCCAAACACTCTGTCATCCACTCACATGGACGGAACACCGTTCTCCCAAAGGAATGCTCGGTCCAAACAAAGCTCTCTGGAACACACATGAACCTCGTGCCACCGCTGGCGCACGACGATGTTCAGATGGCGCGCCATCCGGATGGCGCGCCACATCGTGCGTGCAGCGCTCACGTCCCGGCAGGCGGCTCGTCCCCGGACCGCCGCCGAATCGGGAGCCAAGAGTCGGTTCTCAAAGCGTGCCCAAAACGTGTTATGCGCAACGAATTGAACCACCAGGTTCGACAGTTCAGGCCCAAAACATTTCGACATACTCATCCCTATAGCGTTTCACACCGAAAAACCAGTGGTGACGCCTTGACGCCTTCGTCTGCTTCATTGACCCGAACGCGAAGGATCACCCGAAACCAAACGGGTTTTGAGGGTACAAGTCACGGTGCTCCGCGGAAATCAACTCTGAAGGACGGGATCGTTCCCGGTCAGACCGCGAGCCGGAAAACCAAAAACACACGACCAGGACCAGCTGCGAGCCTCAGGTCGTACACTGTATTTGGGGCCATCTCTCGATCCTGGTGGTGTTCTTTACGGACATCGATCGAGATCCTGTGCTCCTTCGATTCCTCTGAAAAGAGTTCAAACAGTTCAAACATCGATCCGACCGGTGCTTGGAAGCGATGGCTCCGGAAACACAGGCCGGCATGGGAACACCGCTCAGTTGAACCAAGAAATGGTGAAATCAGCGTCCAAAAGGGAGTGTCTTTCAAAAAACTGACCAATGCTAAGATATTCTGGGGTCTTTATTGCCAACTGCACCCTCTGCGCAGAAAGAACCGCCAAGTATCCTTCTCACCTGACACTCAAATTCGAAGCTATCGACTTCGAATGACAGTACCTGACCTGTGCTTATTAGGCACTGTATCTTGGTCAAATAACGCATTCGGATGCGCTGTGCTTTCAGACCAAGGGGGTCTTCCGCTGGATCTTGCGGCCGCCTTGGCTGTGAGATGTCCCACCGGTTTGGCATTTGGGGATGACCGGTCATGAACAGCATCCGATGGGACGAGCCAAAACCATTCCGACTTGGAACTGCTGGAATGTCAGCTTTTTGAAGAGAATAACATGTAGCATCGAGTCCACTATCTATATCTATACAGACTGGGTCCAAACCTTCCCTCCTCGAGGCAAAGCTGAGCAAAGCTGCAGAAAACAGGCGACTGTGACTGTGACCAAGTTTTCGCTGGGAGAAACCATGTCAGACACCCAGGTAACTTGCAACATGCATCCTTTGAACAGTGAGAAGTCGTCTTTCCCTACTTGCCCCTCCAAACCAATACCTCACCTGATATAAGCCAGGCCGAACAGTTTCAGACCTTGGGAGGCCAACCGCCGTTCGCCGGTTCTGGATGCCCAATGCGTTGGTCTCATGGACTTTGCCCGGTTCCAAGAGTGAAAAGTCACTGTTAGGTCTAGAAAGTCTTGAGACTTGGTCGAACGAAAAGTCTAGAACAATCACTGTTTTCTCATTAAAAACAACAAACACTCCAAACTTCCCGCGATCCACAGCCTCAACCTTTGGTTCAGCAAGGTTTTTGGGGAACAAATGACATGTGCGTTGTCTAGATGAAGCTGTACTTCCGTTCCAACTGCAACACTTTCTCATGTTCGCAAAATTCCAGCTTTGGCCAGCTTGTCCTTCCAAACCGCAAGAACCGCGGAAATACCAAATTTTCAGCACCAGATTCTCTACGTCTAAGCCCCCAAAACAGTTGCACCCTCAGGTGAACTTCCTGGCTAGGTCCTACCTGCGACCTGCCCGCCCAGCGTCCGTTCCAGCCGGCCGGAACGCAGCGGTGCCGGTCCGTCCCGCCCCATATGGATCTGAGGAACGACCTCACATCCAGAAGATCAGCTTGTTCTCCTTCACCCGAAAGAAGAGCTCCTGCCATCGGTTTTTTCAGGCAGAAGACGCTCTCTGAATCACCGGCCTCATCTGTGAAACCAAATCGGTGTCACAGGTCCGGCACCACGTTCAGAAGGGTTTACAGGGAGGTCTTCATCGTTCCTGGAAGCTGGAACCACACGAGTTCGCCTTCCTACCAAAAGTGGTTTTGGGGTTCTTCGACTCAACATGTTTTAGCAGCGGAAAATAACACACCAGACGCTCCGTTCACAGCTCGACTGGTCCCTCAAAACCCTAGGGATTGGTTCGGGTCTCATCTCCTGAGGTACGACCTGCCAATTCTGCTGCCAACACTCGATGGGAAGATGCCAATCCTGCGGCCCCCCGGGGGGGACGCGCTCTGCGGGACGCGCGCAGACCGGACGCGCTCTGCGGGACCGGGATACACCTAAAACGGGATACGCATATCGACCAATCCATGGGATGACCGTCCAGTTTAGCATGTGGAAGTCTGGCATCCCGGTTGAAAGACTGAAAGATGACAGGGCTTCACGGTGATCTGGCGGGAAAGACCGCAGTGATCTGGCGGATTATAATCACCAACTCTAAAAACTATGACAATTTCCACCTCCTGCAAAACTTGAGAGGATCCAACCTCCTTGCTCAATGATTGCCGAGCTGGATGTGCATCAACAGGCAGTTTGCCCGACAGCCAGTCCCAGAGCCCAGTTTTGGCCCTGGAACCCAGAGTAGTCTTTGGACCGGTCGTTTACTAACTGGACACAGCAAATGTGCGGATCAACGGCTGTTGATTTTCATTTAGAACTTTCTCATTTCCCAGGCTTGCAACCATCTGTCTCAAACGACTGGCTGACTGGCCGCTCCTTGTGTGCAACACCTACACCTGTTGGTGCTGCTCTGGTCTTCGGCACCTCTTCGTCGGCATGTACACGTGCAATACCTGGAGGACAAAAGATCAACCGCGCAATTCCCCGAGAACATCGTCTCCAGTTGCGGTCCAGGACCAAACTGAGAAAATCCATCCGAGTGCAGAAGGCGTTCCCGTTCCCCTCCGCCTGGCTCGGTCGTCTCCCGGTGCGTGGCCGTGCTGCTGGGCGTGGGTATTGGTCCCGCAGGCCACGCGCCCTTCTCCGGGTCGTCGGCCCGGGGCAGGTCCTGGTCGGGGGAAGGAAGACCTGCGGTAGCCTCCGCTTTGCGGGCCCAGAACCAATAAATTCACAAATTGGTATAAGCAAACAAACAATGCCGGCAAGAGACCCCGAACAATGTCAAGCATATAGATCTAAACGAAGGGGTGAATAAACAAGTTGTGCACCCGAAGAGAGCACACTCGTGAGTGTGAGCAAACATATGAGAGCACAAGTTGCAGCAGCCTGCCACGAAGGTTCACATACCGAGGTTCACATCGCCCCCTGCGTTTCGCGTCGTTTCGCAACAATTATAGCACTTCCAAAGACAAGTTCGAGATGCCAAAGCCGGGGGTGCCGTGAATCTTGAACTTTGGACATGTGGATGGTTTCCAGACTTTGGGGTGTTTGCATCGCGCAAAATTCAAAGTGCTGCGCCTGCCGTGTAGGAGATCGGCCACGAAAAGTCTTCAATCTTGCAAAACACGAGGATTCCCTTGCGCTCGAAATGTCACGAACAAGTCCGAAAATGTGCACGGCACCACAACGAGAGCGCAGTAGAGATCAAACCCTGCCTTTAGCCTGTATACCGTAAGAACCCCGCTCGAGTGACCATTATTCGGGAAAAAAGAAGTCCGCCTGGACTTGGGTCAGTATGTGGGCAGTTACTTAGAATAAACCTGATATTATGGATTTTCATGTTCTACGTACTGGTTCACACTACAAAACACATTCACACCTGAATGGATGGGGAAACAGTGACCCCATGCACTGGGGGAGTGATACATGCAGCTGCGGTGCTCACAAAATACCAACACATGGTCGCCGCAACAAGGCAGGTCATCTGGAATGTTTTAGAGGTTCTGGTGGCCGTGTGTAAGTCCCATCCTCCCTTCATCACTTTCTGCAGATTCTTGACCCTTCCACAGGTCGGTCCTGCTTCTGGTTCTTCAACCTTTCCTGGCGAAACCCGAAGCCAAGCGGGTCCATCCAACGCCCAGCGTGTTTTTGGGGAGCATCGGGCTGTCTCCACCTCTCCACCTTCGCCTTGCGGAAAATG